CTGTACTGAGCCTTTCATATCATAATGCAGTGACGCAATGACAGATTATTAATTGCCTTTCTTGTTCTGTTCCATCTATTATATGTTGATAATAGATAGGACAGAGCACTAAAAACCTCAAACAAAGCACTAAAAACTTAAGCTGTTTGCTGTGTAGTCTGAGAATGAGCTGTTTGATTTGCACCCTCTTCCTCTTCACTGTCCTCCATAAAAACCAGCTATCCAGGTCCATGTTGTTCTAGAAAGTTTGTATGTTGCTGCCTCAATTAACATCTCTGCTATACATTTAAAACATGGCTATATCTAAAATAATTTATCTTTTTGATTTTTGTTATCTTGTTTTTCATGAATATTTTACAACAATACAAAGAGCAATGTGTATTTTCCATTAATATAGTTTGTAATGGCTTTTTTTGTCATAGATTATAATCATATATTTTTTGGATTTGTTATTTATCTTTATAATGAAGTTGTCTGTATTAAGTAGATTGTGTTTAACACACAAGAGTGATTTATTAGTTCAACACATAGTTATAGAAATTCTACTTTATCTAAAAAAAACCCTGCACTTTATACACACACACACACATAAATACATGTAAATAAAAATACCAAAAAAAATACATCAAATGTGTTTTTAGTCAGAGTATTATTTTATACAGAAACAAATATTTGTAATTCAGATAAGAATGAAGTTAGTGTTTTAAAATCTTAAGGAAAACAAATATATTGAAATATAGCACATGAATTTTAAATTCATTCAACTTCAATTACAAATACAATCTTACTTTTATTTAAAGCAAACTATACATTTAAAAGATGGGGGTTATATGCCTATTTTGTCATTTAAAAATATTGTTATGCAAATTGTTATGCAAAAAGACAAGGACTTAGAGACAAGGACTTGTAGGAAAAATCACAGCCAGCCACACACACACACACACATAAACACAGACAACAGCCCTCCCCTCCCCACACAGACACACACACACAGAGAGAGAGAGAGAGAGAGAGAGAGAGAGAGAGAGAATCGCAGGGGAAATAAATCCATTCAAACTACAATATCTGACTTTCTGTTGCTCAGAGCGAATGACTTTAAATTGGAAAGTTGATCGGCTTGACGAGAACAATATACGTGGTAAGTTTTGTAACTGTAGGTAAATTGAGCAAAGTTATAACACACTTTATGTGTCCTTTTTTAGTCATAAAATTCATTTCCTCGCCACGGCCAGACCGTTCGAGATATCAAAAATCCGTCCGGAATTGAGCATCCTCAATGTCTTGACTTCATGCACACCGAGTTTGGTTGTGATTGGTAAACACATGCATTGTGATTTGATGTATTTCTCCTAGGACAATTATTCAAACAACCCATAATTCATAATTCATAAATAACTTCCATTTGAACTGTCATAAAACTTAGAGCACGAAAGTTGTTTGGCCTGATGTGATCTATAATTGTACCGAGTTTCATATTAATTCATGCAAGTGTGTTTGATTTATGGACAAATGTTCGAATCCCAGTCCAGGGGGCGCTGTCGAGCCGCCCTGCCACGCCCGGTTACCAGCTTCAGCCCGGCCCTGATGGCCATGGGTTCTGACCCGTGTGCAAAGTTTCAAGAGTTTTCGAGGATGTTAAGGCCCCCGAAAATGCCAGAGAAGTCGCACACAGCAAATAAAGGGTTAAAATTAACCTGACAGGCGCCCCTCCTCTCACTCACACAGAGGGACACTGAGACACTGGCAAAATTCTGAGATTTTCTCTACATTCAAACAAACATATCTGACTTTCTGTGGGTCCTAGCTAATGAGTGTCAATTAGAAAGTTGTCCGGCTCGAGGAGTACAATATACATACCGATTTTTGTAACTGTAGATAAAACTAACAACCCCACTTTTGTCAAAAGGTGGCGCTACTGAGCCCTCACCACGCCCGTTTCTGCAACTTTGCACATGTCTACTGGCTAATAAATGTGATGTGTCTGTCGAGTTTCATGCAATTTAAAGCATGCTAAGGGTCTCAAAAGCATCCTAAAAGAATGGTAAAGTTTGATGCGTCGCCACGGCAACAGTTTCAAAGATATCAAGAATCCATTCACAGGTCTACATCTGCCCTATGTTTACATTATACAGATGAAGTTTGAAGCAAATCGGGTAAAAATAAAAGGGTGATTTCAAAGCATTTTGAAAGTGACACACTTCCTGCTGCCAGTTGGTGGCGCTATAACTTTGACTCACAATAGTCACATCCATGTGATCGTCCTCTTACAGCGAACACACTGCTGAAGTTTCATCAAGATCAGTTAATGTATGCTGAAGTTATAACACACTTCCTGTTTCACGTTTCTCGCCATGATTTCATTTCCTCGCCACGGACAAACCGTTCGAGATATCAAAAATCCCCTCGCAAACTTTCATCCTCAATGTCTTGACTTCACGCTGACCGAGTTTCGTCGAATTTGGATCAAAGCTCTAGGAGGAGTATTTCAAATTCCATTGCGAGCGTTTTACAAACAAACCTCAATAGCCGACTTCCTGTTGGGCTGGGTAAAAAGTAGAGCGCGAGGTATAGATGAAACGATGAGATCAACATGTGTACCGAGTTTCATATTATTACATGCAAGCGTGTTTGAGTTATGGACCGAGTGTTCGGACCCCGTTCCAGGGGGCGCTGACGAGCCCCCCTGCCACGCCCAGGTACCAGCTTCAGCCCGGCTCTGATGGCCGCGGGTTCTGACCCGTGTGCAAAGTTTCAAGAGTTTTTGAGCATGTTAAGGGCTCCAAAAGTGCAAAAAGTAGTAAAATAATAATACTAAAAGAAAAATATAAAGCTGCGAGCAGCGATGCGGGCCCAAGCCGGTGGCACGCAACCCCGGTGCCTTAGTTACCTAAAGGCTCCGAGGTGGTTACCACCGCCTTTGGCCCTTCATCGCTGCTCGCAGCTATTATTTATATATATTATATATATATAGCGGTGGCACCGCCACCCTGGTGCCTTTAGGGTTATTGTGCACAAACGTAACACTGCTTTGACTGTCGAAAAGAAGTGTGCCGTAGAGCTTGCAACAGTGTGGGCTCTGCAAAAGTGCGCATCGAGGACACATATCAACCAAATGTATGCGTGAGCAACCTTCTGAAACCTAAAATGAAAAAATGAGACACCCTACAGACATTCATGGATTTAACGGACACATTACATAAGTACACAACACTGAAAATTCATATGAAGTGTGTGCAATTTTTTCTATTTTTTCACACCTGAGCAAAAATATTCTTTATACCTGACCTGCACATCATATGTAGAAACACAATGTTTTCAACATTCAGTTGTAACTTTTAACTTGAATGTGCCATTTACATTTTATTTGACCCTTAATGTAACATATTGATATTAAATCATATTTGTGAAAAACAAGCAGTTAATTAAGAAGTCACTAGATGAAGCACATTTTAGGTTCTCTGATATTTTTTTTCCAGTGCTGTTAACTGTACAGTCTTTACCAATAAATACTATGAAAAATAATTTACAAAATCTTTTGCAGGACAGTTCAATTCTTTACAATAAAAGAATATAGTAAGAAAGAAAAGAAAGCTGTTACACAGATGGTTTGGGAAAACCATAAAGTGTTTTTGTACAGTCAATGAATTGTGTACAGGAAGCATTAAAACCATCAAAGTTAAATGGTTGTTTGTTGCTTATGAATTTCCAATATTTTCTTTAGCAAGGGGTTTTCAAACTTTTATTGGCAATGAGCCCTAAACAACCCTTGTGAGGTTCTTTATTTAGCCTTAAAATATAATAAAATATAGGCCTAATATAACCTAAACAATACCTTTGTTAGATTCTTTATTCAGGCTCATAATATAATACAAAAGAGGCCTAATATAATATAAAAAACGAATTGAAGTATTTGAAGTGATATTATACATCAGTTTAAATGCTTCAATTTGTGCACATAATATATTATTATAATATGAAAACAAACTGAAGCATTTAAAATAGATCTAATAGCTAAATATTTTCAAAAAAGTAAATATGCAAACTCTTTAATAGTAATCATACCTACCTGCCCCACACACACACACACACAATCATCGATTTAAACTAATGATGTATTTTGACTTCACGCATGGGTGTTTAATTGTTACTGTTCTATGTCCATCAACCATTATTTCCACCACTTTAATCAGTTTTCACTCTATAGCGGTTGACCAGAGCACTGAATTTATTTCTCAATTAAACTACAATCAAATGGATTTCCACACATTTCGCGTCAGTCCTCTGCGTGGTATTTCTTATTTCGCTGCGCGGCAGCGGCTTCAGAAGTGCACGAGCTCAGAGGAAACTTTAACACAAACACACACTTACGAAGTAAGGCGTGCGCGCGCGCCTCTCTCTCTCTCTCTCTCTCTCTCTCTCAAGCTGGAGTGTGT